GTGACTGCAGAGGCCGGGAGAGGGCATCCCCCGGAGCAGGAGTTTCAGGTAGTTGTGAGCCACCTGACAAGGGTGCTGGGAATTTAGGTCCTCTGAAAGAGCAGCAAGCACTCGTTCCCTTCAAGCCCTGCCCCAGCTCCTGTTCTTATAAGAGGCAAAAACTGAGACTCAGGTGGGAAACCTATCTCACATAATCAGCACATCTGCAACCCGAGTAGAACTCTGGTTTTCTTCTTTCCCTCTGTCCTGGGTGGGTGCACACCAGGTGCCTGGCACACATTCAAAAACATAAGCACCAGCTGGGGAGATAGTCCTCTCTGTTTATGGGTGAAGCCCATGTGAGGTGAAAAAGGGGTCTTGGTGAGGTCCAACCTGCTTTCCTGACAACTGAAACCACTGATGATACAGTCTGGCAAAGCAGCTCAGGGTGTGTTATGTGGCCTTTCATACTAAGAGATTTGAAACATTACCCTCTCTAATTCTCCGCACAAGCCTTCGAGGTTTGCGGCATTACTGCCCGTCTTCAGAACGGAGAAAGACAGTGCTCTGAAAGGTGAAGTGCTCGCCTGAAGCCACACAGTTAGTGAGCTGGAGAGCCAGGATTAGCTTTGCTGACTCCAAAATCTAGACACTTTGTCATCACTCTGACCCGACCTTTCAAATAGGCTTCCTAACTAGCCTGAGATGAAAGAGTGAAACCAGCGAGTGAAGCTTGGCTCTTCCTCCTGATAGGAACTGGTTTTCCCAACCATGTACTAACTAGACGCAGCCCTGCTTAGCTCCAGGATCAAACAGGTTCAGGGTGGTCTGACCTTACACTAGTTCTGGTTCTGATGTGGTCCACAGCTCTGTCGCCCTCTGTTAGCATCAACAAGAGCATCAAAGAATTCCCCTAGGTCCACGTGCTGACTTCTACCTACCCAGTGACTCTCGCCCATGCATGAAATTACCAGATCCTGGCCTGGGGTTCCCCAGCCTCTGCACCTGTTGATCCTCCATGCTGCACCCTACCCAGGGTCTAATGCTTCCATCTGAACTTCCCACTTGGGACAACAGTACACAGTGATGTAGCACTTCGCTTTTCCCACCACTGTGCACTTACAGCTCTATCCTGAAGGAAGCAAGGATTGTGGGTTCCATCCCACAGAGGCAGATGTTGAGGCTTGGCAAGCAAAGGGCTGAGCCTACACCTACTTCAGTCTTGCCCCGTCAGTATTTTCAAGATGGCATGGGAGCCTCCTGGGGAGTGTCAACACTGGTCGGGGGGGTGGTGGCGGAAAGGCAAGGTTCATTCCAGTGGCTCTGGCTCTGGGTCTGAGTCTGGAGCAAAGGCTTCAGGGTCAGGCTTATATCCTCCAGCCCTGTCAGAGAGCAGGTCTCTGAAATGTCACCAGCGCTGAGGGTGTCTTGAGAAATGTCAACAAATGCTGATTTGAGTCCCTTGGTAGAGGGTGGAGCCAGCTTTTCTCTGTAGCCTCTGGGCATGTCACCCTGTTCCAACTGCAGAAGAAAGGGAAACTAAGAGCCTGGGGATTTTCCCAGAAATGTTCAAGATTTAGCAGATTTTATAGCTAGAGGAACTGAGCCCCCAAACTCGGAACTCCAGAGCAAGGTAGCCATTCTTCTCTCCAGAAGCATCAAGGATTGCCACCATCCGTCTTCGTCTCTGCTCCCTAGCATCTTCAGTCTCCTAACACCCTAGTCCCTACTCTGCCCTGGAACCCCAGCCCTCTTGAGTCATGGGAGCAGCATGACTTGAGGAGGTCGTTCAGCACAATGGGCCCAGCATATAGGAGGGGCTGTAAGAGTACATCGATGACACCAGGCCCTGCTCTCCTCAACTCACATCCTGCACTGTGGAGGTGACATCGAAGCCTCTGGGAATATCCACTTCCTCCAGGTTCTGAGGCTGAGGCCCTCCCCTCTCCCATTAGGAACACCCTAATTCATCATCCTTAGCCCTAACCAGGTGTCTTAGTCAGGGTTTATATTGCTGCAACAAATCACCACAACAAAAAGCAAGTTGGGGAGGAAAGGGTTTATTCAGCTTGTGATTCCACTGCACTGTTCACCACTGAATGGAGACAGGACAGGAACTGAAACAGGGCAGGAATCCAGAGGCAGGAGCAGATGCAGAGTCCATGGAGGGGTGCTGCGTACTGGCTTGTTTATAATGGCTCGCTTAGCCTGCTGTCTTACAGAATCCAGGACCACCAGCCCAGGGATGGCACCACCCACAATGGCCTGGGCCCTCCTCCATTGATCAGCAATTGAGAAAATGCCTTACAACTGGATCTTATGGAGGCATAAGAGATTTCCTCTTTTCAGATAACTCTAGCTTGTGTCAGGTTGACATAAACTTCGCCAGCACTCCAGGGAAGGCTGTTTTCTGGCCTAAGTCAATCTTGTCCAAGCTCCCACCCATTCACATTCTTTCCTACTGGGTGTAAAGGACCTATCTCTCCCATCTTAGAGAATCTTCTCCAAGGTTCTAGAAAGCCTGGAGCCCTGCTTTAGCTGCTTTCAACCTCCTCTCTCCTGGCTTTATCACCGTTGTGGAATCTAGTGACTAGGGCCTCTCTGTGCTGTGTCTGGGAGGTAAGCACCTGGATCATTCTTATCCTTATCCCCCACACCTGCCGTCTCACAGGTGCGCAGCTGAGAGTCAGTGAGCTAAAAATTATTGACATCTCAAATCAGGCCAGTCACATCACTTCCTCCTCAAAGCACTTGAGGGTAATATTCAGACTGAAATCTTCCTGAGAGTAGGGACCATGTTTCTGAACCACTTCTTTGTAATTAATCCAGCATCCCACCCAAGAAAACACCTAACAAATCTCTCTATTTTTTTGACAAGAATATATCAATATATCAATCAAGTGAATGCATACATAAATGAGTGAATGACCTAGGCAAGCAAGGACTTTAAAACAAACAACAAAATCCTCCTATAATAAGGAAATAAGGTTTAGGAAGGGTGGCAACCTAGAAAGGGATTTCTGCATGTTACACAGTAGAATTAGAGCCTTCCTCCTGAGAGCTAGCTCAGGAAGCTTGGAGTGACTGAGCAAGGAGCAGGCCACGGGGGCGGCATGGAAGTCTGCATGAGCAAAGTGCAGACTGCGGCCCAGGCAGATGGAGCCTCTGCCCAGAAGCAAAGACTTGCCTGGAATTATTCTGCCTCCAGGTGGAGAGGCGCAGAAGCCTAATTGGTTTTCTCAGCTCCTGGAGCTCGGTTCATAAATCACAGCTCCATTGAAGATGCAGGCACCTCGCCTCTGGAGACCTGGGTGTGACTTGATGCGAACTCCCGGTGACAAGAAGAGGCTCACGGCCTCCAGGTGCAGGTGCCCGTGCCACCCCTGCCCAGAATAGGATACGAGAGCCCCTTGACAAGGTCTACCAGTCAGCTGCGGTGCGCTGCTCCGTACTCCATGCTCAAGTGCTCGGGACCCCAAGGGAGAAGCTGGTGTAGGAGAGAGGTCCAGGAATGCAGAGTGGGGATGTGGCAAAGGCCCAAAAAACCTTCCTTTTCTGAATTTAATCCCGCTCACCATGTATTGAGTGCCTACCTTGTGCCAGATACTGTGCTGGGCTCTGGGGATGCTGGGATGGCTCGGATGTGGATGAGAGAGAAGGGAAGAGGCAGCTACTGAGACAGTCGTCACAACATGGGTGATAAGTGCTTTAGAGGAAAGTACAAGGTGCTATGGGAGCTCAGAGCAGCGGGCCGTTCATTTCTCCCCTGCTGGAGGAGTTTGGAAAGCTGCACAGGGTGGGTGGGGTTGGTTTTTTTTTTTTTTTTTTTGGCTGGGTTTGGTGGGCTTTGAGGTAGGAGGTGGAGGGCAGGACACCTCATGCAGAGAGGAGCATGTGCAGAGGCAGGGGTGAAGGAGAAAACCTTGATAGAGTGTAGCAGATGGGAAGGCAGGAGGATGGCTGGACAGCAAGCTGCAGGCCGGAATCAGCAAGGCCATGAATGATCGTACTAGAGTGCCTGGACACAGTCCAGCCGTGGGCAAAGGGTAGCCATTGAAGAATTTTAAGCAGGGGAGTGGGGGGTAACAGGGCCAGATTTCTGTTTTAGAAAGACTTCTCTGGGGAGAGAGAACGAACTAAAACTGTGGCCAGCAGGCAGAGAGAAGGGAATGTGTCCTAGGGACACTTCAGAAGAAGGATGGGCAGGGCTTTTCCTTCCTAAGTAATGCTTTTGCACTCTCTTGCCTTTCCACTCAGGCTGAGTTCCCCTGGGTAGGAGGGCTGCTTCCTTCTTACTCTGGCTAAGAGCTTCTGCATTCACAGAACGGAACCTACAGGGTCTGAAGGGCTCCAACAGCTCAGAGTACTGCTGTGAGCCTCAGCTAGTGACTTCTCTACTCAGTCCACAGGTCCCAAGGAGTGGTAAGCTTAGCTTAGGCCTCTGGGGAAGGCCCAGAAGAGCCTCCCTCCTTCTTCTTCCTTCCCTCTCCCTTCTGCTTCCCTCTCCTCCCACCCTCCTCCCTGGAGCCCAAGCTTTCTTGCTGGAAGCTCTCAGAGCCAGCAGAGCTGTGGATGAAATGGTTCGGTGGCTCCAGCCCAGCTGCTGCCATAGCAACCAGGCTGTCTGCCAGACCCACAGCCAGGGGCGGGCCCAGTTTTCTGCTCCAGAACTACATTTCCCAGCATGCAAAGCTCCTGCAGGGATGAAAGAAACTCATCCTCTGCCTGGGTCTAGCTTAGAAGGTGAGGGAATCACATGAAAGAAGGGGAGTTAGTATGATGGGGAAAGGATAGGAACTCCACAAGGACCAAATATATCTGGGCACAGGGTCTTTTCTGAGACTGACATTCAACCAAGGACTATGTATGGATATAACTTAGAACCTCTGCTCAGATGTTGCCTGTGGTAGCTCAGTAACCAATTGGTTTCCCATAGTGAGGGGAACAAGGACTATTTCTAACAGGAACTCAATGGCTGGCTCTTTGACCTCCCCACCCCCCAAGGGAGGAGCAGTCCTGTTAGGCCACAGAGGAGGGCTTTGCAGCCACTCCTGAAGATGCCTGATAAAACAGGATCAGATGAATGGGGAGGAGGTCCCCCCTATCAGTGGACTTGGAAAGGGGCAGGGTGGAGATGAGGGAGGGAGGGCGGGATTGGGAGGGAATGAGGGATCGGGATACGGCTGGGATACAGAGTTAATAAAATGTAACTGATAAGAAAATAAAAGAAGGTGAGTGGAGGAACACAGTGTGGGATTCCCCTGCATCCCCCAGAAAGCAGGGCGTGCCTGTGGGTCTGGAAGATGCCTGGAACCCCTTCCTCCTTGGTGACCCACCTGCCTGACATCCCAGAAGGAAGCCAATGGCTACAGGAAAGGACAAAGGTTAGGGATAGATACTCTTCCTGGTTTTGTCATCTAGCCATCCAAAATGTGCACTGAAAACATTCTCTCACACAGTCATCATTACCCTCCATCGTCGTCTGCACCACCTTGAGAGACCAAGTCTGGACGGCTCCGATGCATATCTGATTGGTCTATTTGTCTCTTCTCAAGTCCTTTCCTCCTTCTTCCACAGAAGCCCAAATGACCTTTTTAAAATGCAGTTCCATCTTATCACTGCTGATGGTGCCCACCGCTTGCTGTTCAAACTCTTCAGTGTTTAAATCCTTGGCTTGCTGATGAGGAAACAAATTGCTTAGTTCACTTGGCAAGGCATGTTGGTCTGGCCTCTGACTGCTTCCAGCCCCCTTCAGTGGCCCCACACACCTCAGCCATACTTGACTTCTGTTTCTCTGGATTGGCCATGTCCTGTCCTGATGCAGGGCCTACACCTTTTCTTCTGCTTTTGTTGCATACTGACTTTCCTACCTCAGAGTAATATCTTCTAAAAATATCGTGTTCTAGGGAAGGCCTGCTGACCCAGCTTACTTGACCATTGCTCTTATGTCTTCTTGCGCCTATCAGCCCCTTTCTTATGGTTCTTGTCACAGTTGTACCCTTACGTTAATCTATACAATCATTCGACACCCATGCATGCTAGCACGCAAAGGAATCTCTGTGAACAGAGATTATCTTTATCTTGCCATCTCAGAGCCTGCATCATGCCCTGCCCTGTGGGCAGTAGCAGAGACCTCCTCAGTGGGCAAGGCTCAGATGTAGTCTCTCCTATCATGAGGCTCTCACTCCAGAGAAGAAGACAGATACTAAACACATCTTTGGTAAGAGTGTTCAGTGTGACAAGAGCAAAAGATACAGAGCCAGACATCTAGGAAGGTCTGTGAACACTAAAGGTAGGAGTGATTTAAGGTGCAAAGGAGCACTGCATACAAAGCGATGGAAGCTTCCGAGGCACCCAGAACACACATTATTTGAAGCGTTCTGTCAGGCCAGGCTTCTGGAGTGTAGGCTGGGTGGGAGGTGATGGTAGCTGTATTGTGCCTTGTTTCTCCTGGGCAGTAATGATATGGGTGAGCTATTTTTTTTCAACCTCCTGGACCTTGGCATTCATATCACCCCACCCCACCCTTTTTCAGTCTAAGCTGAACCACAAAATGGACATGCTCAAGCTGAACCATGGCTCAGGCAAACTGCCCTTCATTCTATAGTACCTGCTACTGTATGTCAAGTGTCTATTCAGGGCCCTAACTGTGTTTGGTATGCTGGGGTTGTCATGTGTGTGTATGTGTGTTTTAGAAGCTGAAACACTGGTGTAGTAGCCAGTAAGTCATGGAGCACAGATTGCTGACAAGTGGTGGGAGGATCCTGAAAAAGCAGGGAGTCTAGCCTGGGGAAGGATGTGGGTGCACAGTTTGCCTGGCTGACCAGCTGCAGAATGTCAGCTGGCCCCGAGCAGAAAGGAACCCTTCTCAGTCTCCAACCTGTTGCTGTACTCCTCTTCCTCACAAGTCTTTGGGAGGAAGGAAGAACTGTCCCTATACGGCTATCTTTATCTCTGAATGCTTCCTTACAAGATGCTTCAAGTTCGTAAAAAAAGAACTGGATTCTGGTTAGACACAATGTGCCTTAGCCTTTCTATCCACTGCAAAGATTCTAACCACTACCCCTCCAACACGCGTACACACACACAGGAGAGAGAGAGAGAGAGAGAGAGAGAGAGAGAGAGAGAGAGAGAGACTTTACTCCACCAGGGCAGGAGCCAGCTGACCTGTTTCCCACAAAACCACTTTAGAATTATGTGAAATGTGTAGAGAAATGCAGGCTTCCAGGGAACTCAAGGACAAGTGTCGCACAGGTCACATTTTGAGAAACTTTGTCCGAAAGGTGCCTAATTTTGTCTAAAGAATTCCTGGAACATTTTCTCACCAAAAATGTCTCTTTAAATCTAGCCAGTGGTGGCAACCTTAAGGACCCAACCTCGAACCAGGCAGCCCCCCATTTGCCTTCAAGTCTGTGTCAGGATGCCAAGTTGGCCCTACCTCTTTGACATTTTTTTTTTTCAAATCCCTGCATTACATACACACTCACCAAGAGCCTACCTACTATGTGCTGGAGCTCTGGGAAGAACATGGCAACAATGACTGCTGCTCTCACGTGGGTCTTCGAAACCACAGAAATGAACAATAAGCAAGGCAACAGTGGTGTGGGTACTGAAGACAATGAAGCCATCATCTGATAGAAAATGCACGGGGACCTGCTTAACTCTGCCTTCAGGAAGGGAAAGAGGGCTGGCTGTCTTGGTACCTGTGGTGCTGAGGAAAGTTCTGGAAATAAAGCAGAAAACCCATTCCTCTCCCTTTGCTACTGTTTTTGTGTACTCACGCCTCTGGCTCAGCTTGCTTTTCTGTTTCAACTCCCTCTTTGTTTCATGTCTACTCTTCTTCGCTGTTCCCCCCACCAAGTGCCACTCCCATCGCCTGCCTCTTCTCTACCCCCTCCAGAGAAGCTGAAGAAACCAGAGCTCTTTTTCCTTTCAGGCCAGCCAGGAGTAATTGAGCTGTGGGCTTGCTTAGCAGATAGGCCTTCAAATAGGGCTAGCAGAGGAGAGAAGGGAGGTCAGAGGGAAGCCGGAGAGCTGGAGGGACAAGGTGGGGAGGGGCCTGGTGAGCTCCAGGACACTCTGAGGGGCTGGAGGTGGCCAGTGAGCCAGGTAATCTAATCAGGGGGTAAGTCATAAAGATCACTCACTCCGTGCCCAGGACCAGCCTAGGAAATCACATTAATTTGAAGAGGGTGTGTAAAATCCACGGAGAATTCCCCTCTCTCCACCACACATATGAAGATAAACTGTCTTCAGCTTCCAATATGATCTTACAACAGCTTGTCAGTGACAAAACAGCCTCAAATCCTCCCATTTATCAAACGGCCAATCCTGTTAGCAGCTTAAAAGAGACATAATTACCTGCGGCCTTTTGTGTGATGCTTTAAACTAATGCCGCTTCCTTCTTCCTGGCAGCGGTCCAGAACGTGAGCTCAGAATTCATCCGGAGATGAGGAGGTCTTGGGAGATGTTGAAGTTAGCGGTCAGGCATGCAGAGTTGAGGCAAGGAGTGGGATGAGGATTAACACCGTGGACAGGGGTTTAGGTCCAGTCAATGAGGAGGCACCAAGCCCAAGGCCCAGGAGTGCTGCTGGGGACCCTGTAGGAATCAGGAGAGCTATGTTCCAGCTGCTTCTACTACAGAGAAGATAACAGAGGCCTAGGCCCATGATACACCAGCCCTGGTTTTGGGGACAGAGAAACAGACATACATGGACCTATAGTTGGAAAATCTGAGTAGAGGTCTCCACCCTCTGGCAGAGCTAGGAGTGCCCAAAGTGGCTGACGTGTGTTTTCTGTGTTTCTATGGTTTCAGAACCCATCTTGCTTCAACTAGGAAGAACAATAGGGTTTCCCAGCTAAAGCTCACCAATGCTTGCTCTGGGCCAGGCCCAGGTTTATACTAATTAAGACAGTAAGTCATACTGGATCATGATTCTATTTTCCCATTTTATAGAAAAAAGACATTGTATAGATAAAAGCAAAGTATCCAAGCGTCAGGGAGAGGACTCAAATCTACAGTCTATGATCTGAGCCATCTCCAAGGCAGGCTCTGCTATAAAGACAACTCATTCCTGTGGCTATGGGATGGCCTCTTACACTTCCTTCTGTTCCTCAGGGAGCCCACCTGAGGCCAGTCTCCCCTCCCACTTAGAGGGGTGTGAAAAAACCATACACGTGGCCTCTCCCTCTAGAGAGGACACGACTCCTTGGAAACGCATTGCATTGTTCCTGGTAAGAGCAGTCCTACAAACTTCTATGTGCATTCATTCCCACGGCCCCCTCCCTCTCTGCTGCTGCTGGTCCCTGCTGCAGCTGTACCCTGCACCTTGCAGGGAGCCACCCTGCACCATCCTGCCCCTCCCTGCCCACACCTCATTGCCAGATTCCTCCTTGCTTCCCACTTTCCTAAGACTTTCTCCATTTTCCAGGAAGCCCAAGTGAGTCCTCTCCAGGGAGGAAACCATCAGAGTTCATTTGGAAGCCAGATAACGAGGCCGACAGTGAGACAGACAGCAAGAGACAGACGAGAGACAGGCTGAAAATGGATTTTGAAGTGCCGATGAGCCAATGATTGTGGTCAAACGCTGTTGAGCGACAAGGTATCTGAATATCTTGCAGAGCTATCTAGGGCTAGCTTTGCCCGGTTCCCTGTGCCCACTAACCCTTCATCCTTGCCCCTCTTCTTCCCTGGGTTGCCTCCTAGACTAGCCTCCTAGCCCCTGCCCCACCCTAGCCTGCCTTAGGGCATTCATCACTTGGACTAGTGATTTATCAAAGGCTCTGACAGTCCCTGTTTGGCAAAAATCGATCTGTGAAGAATGGGACCAACCCAAGGCCCCCTCTTCTCCCAAACCCCCACCATCAATCTGCTCCAAAGGATCTCCACAGCTCAACATCAGCAGTGCCTCCAGGGCGGGGCGGGTCTCTGTACTCTTTCCTGTTCTTAAGAAGGAGGAGGAGGGAGAAAGAGAGCAAAGAAGAGAGGGAGAAAGGCAGAGAAGGAGGGGGGAAGAGATTAGTGCCTTCTTCTAGATGTTTATTTTGTTGTTTTTAAGTGAGAAAGTCCCAGCTCTATTAAATGCAATCAATACTTGGCCCAAGAGAAGCTTCCCCTTCTCTAAGACATTTGAAATCTGGTCAAATCATTTTGCCCTGATACAAAGTAATTTATCAATTTCAAAACTCTTCTAATCAGTGGAGGCTGTGGAGTCCCATTCCTGCCTGCTGTCTTCTGCTGTAGCACACACACACACACACACACACACACACACACACACACACACACCCCTCTCTGTTCTTTTTCTAGTCTTATTTCCTACCTTCTTCCCAGCAACTGCAGATTGACTTCTCTCCTTCAGGACAACCTCTGGATCACCCTCAAATCTCTATCCCAGTCTGTACGCTCCTAACCCTGCAGGTCTTATACTCAGCCCTGGGGCACCAGAGTGGTTGAAAGTACAGCCACAGGCACCAGCACTGTCTACTTTTCCTAGTAGCTATCAGCTGGGTGTGGGAGTGTCTTGTTCTTAGACAGAGCCTGGAAAGGAACTGGGGGCCTAAGAGGCTAGATGGGACCTTTGGGCCATCAAACTTGTCCCTTAGAACCTTGGCCTGTGTCTCCAAGGGGCAAGTGAGAGTGGCTGGCTGCAGTGGAGTTGATGGAACTGGCTGATTCTGGGGATGATGTCACAACACTTTCCTGCCTGAAAAGCTGCTATTTTTGCCCTCTAGACAGGTTGCATCTAAAGGGAAATTGTGACAGCGGCAAAATCACCTTGCACCTCACCCTCCCATTCCCAGAAGAGTAGCTTTGGTCTCTGCAATGCCATTAGATTGGATTCTCGGCAGGTCCTTTGTGACTGCCAGCTGTGGTGACCAGATAGGCCACTGACCTTTGGGGAAAGGCCACCCACTGAATAGCTGATTTAAATGGTTTCACAATTGTCTTTGCATTCCCTGGCCTCAGAGGTGACTGGGGGAGGTGACTCAGTGGGCCAGGAGTCACCACCACATGAGCTCTTGGAGACCTCTACCCACAGGACCGCAAATCTAGAAACCTGACTTTGGCCTTCTAGGCTCCTCTACCAGACCTAATCTACACTCTCCCATAGGCCTTCCTTGCCTATGTGTACTCAGTGAGTAGGTGGAGGTCTCCATGGAGCTCTGCCTTTTGTTTGGTGTCTTCACTCCCCATATCTATCATACGTCACCTGGGAACAGAACCACAGCTCCTAATATCTTTGAGGCCCTCACAGTTCCTTGCCCAGGGCCCTCTTCAAAGTAATGTTAAACCAGAGTGAACACAGTGTCCTATGGTTTATGAGGTATTTTAATATTAACCGTCTAATTTAATTCTGCAATAATGCTGGGGGATACATATTATCCTATTTTATAGCAAGAGAATTCAAGGTTCAGAGAGGTGAAATCATTTGTCCAAGTCACACACAAAGCAAATAACAAATCTAAGCTATCTACCGAAGTTCTCTCAATCCAGATCCTAACTCTTTCTACTGTTGTTTTTCATTATATAAGCATTAAGCATCGTCCTCATGGCAGATTCTCAGTGTTCTTCGCTCTAGCGTGCTTTCTTTCTGGAGTGTTGGGTGGTTGGCTGGCTCTGAGACTGTGTCTCACGCTGCAGCCCAGGCAGGCCTGAAACTCATGGCGCTCTCCCTGCCTTGACCTGCTAGTGCTGGGATGACAAATGTGAGTCTCAGAGGGGCACGTGCCATGTTTTTTTCTGTAGATTGGGAACTAGAGGTGCGATATTTGGCTAAAGATAGTACAGTAAATAAGAGATGGAGGTAGATTTAACCTAGATCTCTTGATCTCAAATCAGAGGTCTTCCCCGTTACAACATAAAACTTTTTATAGTGATGTTCAGGAAGGGCCTGACAAATACCGGGCCCTTTCCCAGTTAGTCTTTGTAAAATCCACTCCCTTCTTAGAAATGATGAAGTCATTAAAACTTTGAAAAGTCTAATGCCTGACGCCACACTTGGATTTGAACTTCTGTCTCTGGCTCCAGAATTAGAACTTGGCTGTCCTAGCCATTGATGATATCAGAAACACTCCAAGAACCAGTCTGTCAACTGGGTGTCTGGCCAGTGTTGAGGCAGAGATCATGGCACAGTGGAAAGAGAAGCTGTACATGATGGGCTCCCGGAACAGTGGCTGACTCATGATCTATACTGGCTCTCACAAGCCCTCTGTACCTGATGCTCTACTACCAGGCACATAACTCTGTGGGATCTTCATAGAATCTCATGACAATAGCTTACCCATTTGAAGGATATGGAGACCGAAGCTCAGAGAGATCAGCAAGTTGGACACACAGCATCCCCCTAGTCCCAGCATCCTGCTGCGAGGGAAGGATGGGAGGGGGCGGTGTATGACCTCCCAGGTAGTCTGGGAAGAGAACAGGAGTCTGTCACTGAGGAACACTACAGCTGCCAGAGGGCCCCAGTACTCAGGAGAGATGTGTAAATCCAGGGTAAACTGCTAGGGGATAATTTGAACTGAGAGTCACTGAAGAAGTGCATGGGACAGCAGCTGACTTAGGGAGCACCCCATGGCTTGGAGCCTTCATTTCCAGTCTTGTCCAGCTAAGGACTTCCCACCCTTCCTCTGGGAAACAACATCCCCGCCCTGTACCCCTCATCCCCTCCCCCAAGAATAGCTGTAGCACCGTTTGGCTTAGGACTCACCCTGATTGCTTCCCACATTGATGGATGAATGTGGTTCTACAAATTGGAAAAATAACTAATGTGCAGCTCCCAGACCCTGCTGCCTATGGGTGGAGGGGGCTTTTCTGGGTTAACCCAAGACCTGGGAGGAATCAGTCCCCTGCTTGCCAACCCAAAGAGGCAGCGGGAGAGGCTCCCAGCCTGGTGGGGGTGGATTTCGATTTCCTACAGGGTTTCTCTGTGTCACCTCTCATCACCATAATATTTACATCAAATGCAAAAGGCCTCCTCGGAATAGAACCCTGAGGTTGTAAATGCCAAATCTAAGAATGTCAGCAAATGCAAAAGATCAGGTTCTTTGAGCAGCAGCCTTCCCCTCCTCCAGGCAATGCCTGCTGCAACCCTGAGGGCAGGCAAAGCGGGCTCTAGAGCTTCCCAAAACCTCACCCCAAATCTGGAAGGGCTGGGGGATGCCTGGGGGGCCCAAGGGCACTCATCTCTGATTGAGCAACACCAGGCAGCTTCATCCCTTCCACCTGACTCCAGGCAACATCTGAGGAAATATGTCCACATACATTCTCCATCCAGCAAGGGAGGCCAGGCTGCCCTGTGGACAGACAGACAGCTCAGCTGCCCAGTGATCAGGCTGCAGTGTACTCTTCCGGCCTGGTGGCTGAGTTCTCACCACACCCCGATTCTCACCCCCACCACCGTGTCCCTCCTGGAGCCCCTGAAGCTTTTCAGAGACTACTCAGTTATCAAACATTTATTGAGCGCTTATGAAACACCAGGCCCTGGGAATACTATGGTGGACAAACAAGGTTTCTTCCCCGAAGGAACTTCTGTTCTAGCCACAAGACAGCGGATGATTAAGGTGAGAAATAAATAATTTTAATTGCTGTGAAGAAAA